AATTTATGTAGAATTGGTAACAGTTCTTCTTTAAATGTTTTGTAAAATTCACTTGTAAAACCATCTGGTCCAGGGCTTTTCTTGGTTGGAAGTTTCTGATAAATGTCTAGATTGCATCACAGAACCTAGCATATTATCAGCATTAAAATACTGCATATTTAAATATATGAAGAATTAACAAAAGAGAAGAATAGAATCTCCTTAAGAGGCACCAATACCTGGAGATGCTTTGAGATGCTAAAGTACACATAGCCTAGGGCATAGGCATAAAGCATTCACATACAAAAGTGTAAGGCAATCAGCACAGACTTCTGACAATATAATGATCCAATGTCTGCCTGCACACTGGCAGTGTTTTGTTGTTGTTGGTGTTGTTGCTTATTTTGTTTCTGTTTTGCATGGGAGCAAAAGGAATTGGCAGTGATTCCCTGATATAACAGTGCATAAGTGTCATGTAGAGGCCTTGCAGAGTGGATTGTATTTGGGGGTAGGGGGTGGGGTTTGGGGAGGTGCGGGGAGGCGGGGGAGAGTGTGTACCAATGAGGGAGTTTTGCTTTTCAAGGAAAGGAGCAAATGGGGGGGGGGGGGGAGGGGTTTGTGCGGGGAGAAGGGTGCAACAATGAATGAATGGAATCCCAAAATCTCTGTAGATGTTCATTGAAATGAAAAATAAACAACCTAAATTTAAAAAAAAAAAAGAACAAAAATGTCACTTAGAGGGCTACGGTGAATCTGACCTGAGCCATGGAATTTTCCATCACCTCATATGCATACCAATTCTGGACAACGAATAAGGAAAACAAAAAATAAAAAAAAAAAAACCAAAAAAAAAATACCAATTGCTGAACACTTGAGTTCAGAAGAAGGAAATCTGAACTGAACATTAGGAAACTGGCTACCATTCTAGTTGTGCAGTTAAATAATCTGTGCTCTTTTAGCCCAGTAATACAACTAATTTAGATGCCATTTTCTCCACTCCAAAATGAAGAGTGCAGACACTCTTATGTCAGTTATTTGGAATTATGGCATTTTCACTCTATGTAGTCCTTTCTGATTCTTTAAAAACTATGTATAAATATTATGTGCTAAAATGGAAGAATCTCCAAAACAGATTACATGAAAATGCAAGAAGATGAGCATTTATTATGTGCCAAACTCTTTCCTAAAATCCTAGGACACATATGAATCTTAATGTAGACATGAGAAAGATGATGATCCAGAGAAAGGTTAATATGTGCCTAAGAGGAAACAACCAAATCTGATGCAAAGCGCCTAAATACAAATAATATATTATAACCTGGTTGGTTTGATTTGGTTTTCAAAGAACATTTTATATATACATGTATATTTCGGCATAACCATAAGCACCGCACATTAATATACACAGAAGTAGATACAGAAAACTTAACAATGGTTGTCTCTGCAAAGCAGAACTGAAAGGCTAGTGGGAAAATAACCATTTAAAATTCTTCATGGAATCAAGTTTTGCTTTGTTTTGTTTTGTTTTACAGTGCATCATATTACTTGTTTCTTTTATCAAAGGAAATCATTCCTGGAACTCATGCCTCCTTTGGGTTTCCTCCTCTTCTATCTGCCCTCCAGTCATTTGCTGTTCAATTACACCTGTACAGAAGAGAATGCTCTAGAGAAACCACCTTATAATTTGTGGATCATACAACTTCTAAAACTTCTTAAACGTTTGAATTGCATTAAAAAAAGAAATATCTTACCTTTTAATTTCAAACTATTTTCCAGTGTTATAAAATTTTCATAGAAGATGAAATATATCTGAGAATAGTGGGTCTCAAAAAACGGCTTAAGATCACTGGCATCCACATTATCTGAAAAGCAAAAGTGTCCATTTATGACAATGCACAATTATCAGACTTCACAAACCACCTTTTCAAAATTAAAATGAGGGAAAATTTACAAAAAAATAAGTTTAAAATTAGCATTGTCTTTATAAAGTAAAATAAAAGAGTCATTCCTTTGGTTTACACCACTGTAAGAATCCCTGGTGGAGGCAAAGATACCAACTGTTACCACTTCTATTTAATATTGTTATTGGAAGTATTTGCTTCAGCAATAAGAAAGTTGTTGTTGTTGTTGTTGTGTGCCACTGACTCGCTAATGACTCATAGGGACCCTATGTACAAGAGTCCTAAAACCCACTCTATCCTGTCATAATCTTACTGTCTCTAGCACACCTATGCCCATTATCCCAGTCACTGAATCAATCCATCTCATCGAAGGTCTCCCTCTCCTGCACTGTCCCTCCACTCTCCCAAACATGATGTCCCTTTCCAAGGACTGGTCCCTCCTTATAACACATCTAAAATATGTCAGATGAAGCTTCAAAATCCTTGCATCCAAGGAGCAGCTTGGTTTCACCTTCTCTAAGACAAACTTGTTTGTTCTCCTAGCAGTCCATGGTATATTTAATACTCCTGTCCAGTACTACAGCTTAAAGGCATCAATTCTCTTTTTTATCATTGCTTAATCACTGTCCAGCTGACATATAGCAAGCAACTGTAAAGACTATGGCCTGGCCCAAAACCAAGTTAGTCTCCAGACCGACATTGTTGCTCTTCAGTACTCTGGACAGTCAACTTTCCCAGTGCAATTCGTCTTTTGATTTTCTAGCTTCTGGTACGAAAGAAGGTAATAAAAGGCATCCAGATCGGCAATGAGATGGTTAAACTGTCACTATATGCAGATGATATGATAGTGTTTACAGAAAACTTCAAGGACTCAACCAGAAAACTGTTAGAGCTAGTGGACCAAATTTAGTAGGGTGGCAGGATGGAAGATCAATATCCAAAAATCAGTGGTTTTCCCCTACAATAAAAAAGAGAACTCAGAGAAGGAAACCAAGAAAGCAATACCATTTACAACCACAAACTGAGATATTTGGGAATTTAACTAGAGACACAAAAGACATGTACACTGCTACTGGAGTGAGATGGTATCCCACTGCAGTTTTTGCATCTCTCTTATTACCAGTGATATTGAGCATTTCTTCATATGTCTGTTGGCCATAAAAATGTCTTCCTCTGTGAAAAGTTCTTCGATGTCTTTTGCCCATTTTGTAATTGGGTTATCAGTCTTTTCCTTCTGGAGGTCCAGGAATATTTTGTAAATTTTATTATGAGACTCTTTTCTGAGATGGTAGTATTAGCAAAGTTTACTAGGGTGTTTGTTGTTCTTATGTGCCGTTGAGTCATTTGCGACTCATAGCGACCGTATGTACAACAGCCCTAAACCCTGCTCTATCCTGTGCCAATCGCATTGCCTCTGACACACCCATCCCGATTACCCCAGTCAATCCACCTCATAGAGGGTCTTCCCCTCCTACGCTGTCCCTCTACTCTACCCAGCATGATGTCCCTCTCCAAAGACCTGTCTCTCCTTACAACATGTCCAAAGCATGTCAGACGAAGCCCCAGAATCCTTGCCTCCAAGGAGCAGCCTGGTTTAACCCTCTCTAAGATGAATCTGTTTGTTTTCTTAGCAGTCCATGGTACATTCAATACTCTTCTCCTGCACCACAGCTCAAAGGTGTCAATTCTCCTTCTGTCCTCCCTAGTCATTGTCCAGCTCTCTGATGCATAACAAGTGACTGCAAAGACCATGGCCTGTATCAGGCGCACCTTTGTCTCCAAAGAGATACCGTTGCTCTTGAGTACTTTAGAGAGGTCCCTAACAGCAGACTTTCCCATCGCAATATGTTTTTTTATTTCCTGGCTGCTGGTGCCAAGAGTGTTGACTGTGGAGCCGAGCAAACTGAAGCTGTGAACAATCTCAATCTCTTTGCCATCCATCCTGATGCTGGAGAGAATGTGGAAAAGTGGAAAATCTCATATATTGTTGGTGGGATTGTAAAATGGTACAACCACTGTGGAAGACAGTTTGATGTTTCTTCAAAAAGTTTAACATTGAAACAATGACCTAGCTATTTCACTACACGGAATATACTTCAAGGAAATTAGAATTGAGATACAAACAGATCTATACACCAATGTTCATAGCAGCGTTATTCACCATCACAAGGTCATGGAAACAGCTGTGAGGATGGGTAGTGGTGAAACCGTAGGGTTGCACAATTTGGTGGGTGGAGGGAAGGGGCAAAGGAAATGTGAAGAATGAGGCAGGAACCTGAAACGACAGGGTAATCATGAGCAAGGTCCAATGGTGATTGATTTAATAAAGCATAACGCATGGGAATGATTGTCTGAAACACAATTGTGAATGAAGAATAGTGTGAAACACAAAGTACATAAACTTTATAAGCAAACCTCTCTCTCTCTCTCTCTCTCTCTCTCTCTCTCTCTCTCTCTCTCTCTATATATATATATATATATATATATATATATATATATGAAATATATATTTTAAAATGGTTTATTAAAAAAAAAAAATGAGCGAGAAAGCAAAAATAGCCCCGATGGCACAGGTGGTTAAACCTATCCATAAGTTTTCCTGGAGAAAAGATTTATTGATGTGCTTTTGTAAAGTTTCAAAACGCACTGCCATTGAATTACTCTGACTCACAAAGACCTTGAATCAGCTTTCTGAGACTGTAAATGGCAACAGATGGAGACTTCCCATCTTTGTCCCTCAGAGGTGATGGTGGATTTGAACCACCATCCTGAGTTAGCGGGGAAACTCACAATGGACTATGCCACCAAAGCTCCTAAAGCATCCTGTGGGGCAGTTCCACGGTATCACATGAACCTCATGATGTAACAGTAATACTCCTCCACTTCGGAGAGTTCTGAAAAGGAAAGGAAAATAGCCTGTGAACATGCCCTAGGGCACTCCCCTACACCAGGATCTTCTAAGGAGACTTGGAGACTTTGAGCAGAAAGATTCTGATTTCAGAAGATGAAAGCAGACAGTGCACATCACAAAAGACAAGTCTAAAGGTGGAAGGGAGATAAGCATAGTCAAGAATCATTCTATGGCAAAGGATGAGGAAACAGAACTCATGAGGTGGCAGCTTCTGACACTGACCATGAAGAAGAATGGGTTTGTAGACTTGATACACAGTTTTCCAAGATGGACCAACGTTTTCTATCTTCTATTTCCCAAAGGGAAGGAAAAAAAAAAATCTAAAACAAGGGAACAAAGAAAGAAGCTTAAAAAAGAGTTCTCACTCCACCTACTGGGTGTATTTCTATTGGGGTCCACATATTCCACAGTTTCTTTAACTTTAAGAAGCCTATGATACTCCTGTTTGGACACAATGATAGCTTATTATGTGTTCCTAGAGTTGCAAATAATTGCCCCTGTTGTAGCAGACAGTTTTGCTAAAGCCAGGGACTGGAGACAGTTAAGCAAGTCAGGTAGGTTACTTGGGTAACAACTCCTCTTGAGGTCACAGAGTAGGCACAAGCACTTCTTCCAGGGAGACCAAAACCTCAGAGTTCATCAAAGCTACTGAGCTTTTTCAACATATTTTGTTCATTCTCCTCAACAAAGTTGTTAGTACCATTTAAAAGGTCTTGACTAAGGTTTTAGGCATCCTGGAGGAGGCCTGGTGGCCTAGTGGTAAGAAACCATGCTGTAATACCAAAGGCACGTGGTCTGGATCCACCAACTGCCCTGAGGAATAAGGAAGAGCAATCATCTGTGTGATTTACTGCCTCTGAAAAACCTTTGGAGAGTCAGCTATGGGTCAGTTCCAACTAGGTGGTACACAACAATACTATAAACAAAAAGTCCCGGTGCTGTAATAGGTTAAGTGTTGGGCTACTAACCAAAAGGACAGCAACTTGAACCCATCAGCTGATCTTGAGGAGAATAATGAGGCAGTTTGTTTCCTTTAAGATTTAGAGTCTCAGAAACCCACAGTGAGAGTCACCATGAATCAGAATTCACATGATTTCAATGGGCTTGACTTGTTTCTGTCTAACACATGGGATGTGAAAAGTAAGAATGCAGGAAAATGGGAGATTGTTAAGAAACAAATGTTGTTGTTGTTGTTGTTGTTGTTGTTGTCAGGTGCCATTGAGTCATAAGCTACTCACAGCGATCCTATGAACGAAAGGCCTGAGCACTGTTCATAGAGTTTCCAGAGGCAAGCCATTTCGGAAGTGGATGCCACTCCTGCTTCCAAGCTTGTTTTAATCGGGAAGCTCCAACAAACACTGTCCACCATGAGTAACCATTGTTGCATTTGGCACATTAGTGTCACAGTGTTTAGCATCGCAGTTACCTCTGTACAGCAGCAATGCACAGACCAGTGCTATATCACCTAGAATGTTTGACAAAAAACAATTTGAACCAGGCCCTCAGGCCCTTTGCAACTTTAAGCCACTGACTGCCTTAAACCCTAGGCCAAGCCTCAAGGGCTTCGCTCCTGGGGGAAAGAGCAGTAAGCACTGCACGTCAAACACAAGCCCGCAAAATCACATGGCCCCAAAAACTTGCAATTACTTGCACACACGGACCACCATGCTCAGGCAGCAAGAAATCAGTCACAGAAAGAAATGGAACGCATGAAAATTAACATACTAAGCATTGGTGAAATGAAATACATTGGCATGGGTCATTTTGAATCCGATAATCATACGATCTACTATGCTGGAAATGAAAAGGTAAGGAAAAAATGGGGCGCTTTCATAGCTGAAAAGACTATTTCTAGGATGACAGAATCTATGCCTTCAAGTTGTGGTGCTGGAAAAAAGTCTTGAACATACCATGGACCACCAAAAAACAAATATGTCTGTCTTGAAGAGGGTAAAACCAAGTCTCTCTTGAAAGCTAGAATTTTGAAGCTCCATCTGACACACTTTGGACACATGGCCAGGAAGTGACAAATCTTTGGAGAAGGATATCA